ACTGATTCAGTCATTCCTTTTACTTCATGCCATCCGATATCACATAAATTAGCAGCTTTCAATTCTCTTTTTCATAGATTGTTCAAGATTCAATTGAGTCCTTCTGACTTCTACAAAAAACACAATATTATCGAACAAATTGGGCACAACAATGGATATCCAACATATTTATTTGATATAATTTTCAACAGACATCTACAGAAATCCTTAAATCAGTCTTTAGTACCGTCATAGATTTCTATGGTACCGTTGAACAACCCCCGGACGCGTTTCTTCCCAATTCCTTTTCTAGGTAGAGTCTCCAATGACATTGAAAACATTTTTCACAGACATAGCAAAGATATAAACATTTCCTTTTATACCACAGATACCATTACAAAATCACTGACAAAGTTCCTCTTCTACATAAATCAGGTGTTTATAAAATTTCTTGCTCTGATATAAACTGTAATGCCCAGTATATTGGTCAGAGTGGCCGTAGTGTTCAAACTCGAGTCAATTAGCATGTCAGACTTATATAAAAATTTAAAAAAACATTTGGATGAATACCACACTGAAAGTTCTTTTGCCAATCATATTCTCAACTTCAACCTTTTTTTTAACAGTCAGATAGGTCTGGAAATGTTACATGTCTGCTCGAAAGGGAAATTATTGAATTTGTTAAAGATTTTCGAAATCAACAATTGCTTGAATAACAACAATGTCATTTCACTGAATGAACAAACCCACTATGATAGCCTGGAATTTTTCAATTCTTTACAATTCACAAAATAAGATGATCATAAAAATTTTTGAATTTCCTCTTGCCTTGGTCTTCGATATTTCCATTGAATTTTTGAGTTTCAACATAACCTCATAACATAACCTGCAAACTTCTTCTTCTTTCCTTTTACCAGTACACCGATGGCATGTCACCGCTGGGTGGACAGTCACCACCATGTTGTCTCGTGCCACTTGTCTTTTTTATTGACTTGTGACGTGTGACACATGCCGTGGTTCTTTCCGCCTGGTCAGGTGGTATCCGTCGTGTGCTGGTACAGGGCAAGATGGACACGTTTCCAATTCCAATGTCGCATCCATATGTGCCATTTGATGGATATTACAATAAATATTGTATGGTGATTTCCGAGGGTTTGTTGGGTTTCCCCATTCAATAATGTTCTTGAAACCCAAACAAAAAAAACTTGAAATGTTGAAGTTGGTCACATAACCTCTTTTTCAATTCCCAAGTGAGCACTCTTATTAATAACTCGTCTATTGTAATAATAACCATCATAATGTGTTAATCACATTAAATGTCGTGGAGATGACTTCGTGTATCATTTAGTATTTTTTTGATAAATAAAAAGACGAGAGAACAGTTCGCATTATTCCCGTTTTAGAGAGAACCGCTAGGCGTATAGATACCAATCTGGTCTTACAACAAATCTCATTGAATTCTCTCCAACGAGAGTATTATGAAAGATAACTCACAAAATACGTGACTATTTTGAAGGAATTTCACTTTTTAGAAAAAATTGCATATTTTCAAAGAACTGTATCTTGAGAACCCATAGCTGTATGGGGCTAATCTTGGCCTCATATAATAGCAAATTGAGTTCAATTTCAAAGTATAAATGGTGACGATACCGGTCAAACCCTTCCTTCTCTAAGATATTGAACAAAAACTGACAAAAATCCAAAAATTTCAATGTTTTTTGGGTATACCGCTGCTCACACAGCAGTTTGGAAATTGTAATTCTGGTTTCTTGATATTGGTATAGGTCCTAACAATATATAAAGAATTCAGAACGACCGGACCTTTTGCAAGCACGACCCCCTTTTCATTTTCAACTCTACTGAACTAACAATAGTATATTGCACACCGAGGTGGAATGAGATTTATTCCTGGCGTGAGATTAGTTATCCCCAGACAGAAATGAAGCTTACTATTTTATCTACAACCATCATATTCTGATCGTAATTGATAATTCTCTCTTTCGTTTTGAACATTCCTGAAATATTACATGCGTCGAGGTTAGCTATGATCTCGAGACAGGAATGAAACTTACTATTTTATTCACAACCATCATATTTCGTTCGAAATTGAGAATTTTCTGTTTCGTTCTGAACATACCTAAAATATTATATGAGTGAGGTCAGGAAGTGAGGGCGAGAAGTGACTTTGGTATTGACAACATTACATTTATGATTGTGAACAAAATATTTTTGTTGCAGGAATTGGCCTTTCGGAAAGTGGTATTGCACTGTGAGCAATTTCATCGCCAATGCGACAGTAGCTGCTAGCGTTTTCACGCTCACAGGAATTTCTTGTGACAGGTTAGTTCAACACTGTGATATAGGTGTGAAAAGTGTATAAAACGGACACATAGCTCAGTAAAACGGTAACGATGAGGATCCTCTCGAGAAAAAAAATTAAGAAGTAGACTTTCCTGCGGTTTCTTTGTTTTTGGAGCTGCTGAATCTGAATCTGTAGTTTGTAAACAAAATTTCTCAGAGCGTTTCGACATTTTCGCACTTCTTCGAGCTTTTTTGTCCACCCTATCAAAAGTTGAAGTAGATACAATTTACTATATACACATGATTGTTCTTGCTCATCAATGTGGAACTAACGGGTAAGGAGCTAGAACAAGATAATGGTGTTTTTCATCAGTTCTTGTAGATAATTCATGATCCACGCATTTCTAGAAGGGAAAAAATTATGTGGAGTAGTTCTGGTCATGTAGGATATTGCTTCTTTCAGCGTGTAGCTCGATTTTAGATTCGTCACAGGACCTACTCAAGTATATTCACCTACATCAACTGGATAGGACGTTGTTTTTCACACCTGCTTGTTGTTATTCGTTAACGGAGGGAGAGAAACCGGGTTTTCCCTCATTTACCACCAGATGGAGGATGAGAGTACCCTGGAGGAAACACGATTTGCTCCACCTCCAGAACCTGTTCCTTCAGGGTATACCAGCCTCTTGCCAAAGGACGATTTAGCGGCGATTAGATAGTATATATTATAGTGATTACCTCAATCGAATTGTCTTCAATAACCCAAGGCTTCTGATACAACCTAGGATTTTCTTGGTGGTTGAATTTTTCCCCGCACAGCATCAGGCTTCAGGTAGACCTGGTTTAGGTGATTCACATGCATGAGCAGAGTATGTGTTCCGTGAATCTGGTCACGCTGTGACAAACTCGGCAAGTTGAAGTCTCTAAATTAGCCTAGTAATTTTGATTTTGAGCAACACTTCTGAGGGTAAGGTTCTAGCTCTGGTTTGTTGAGAATCGGTAATTGTAATTGTAATTGTTGATAACCTGTTCTGTTGACCTGTAATAATCGCTCACCAGTAGTAGGCTTTTTTGCTCTCTTTCCATTTCCTTTGCTCTTTTATCAGATGATAATTCCTCGTCCCACAGGAAGTCTCAGGACCAAAGAATATAAACTTTGCGCTCTTTTCTTGCAAGCCGATTAGCGATCAGCTGCCTTATGCCCATGAAATGAATGATTTGATAGTAGGAATAGTTTTTCAAAATCTATGAAGAATGCCTCGAATGAAGAATACCTATATCAGAATCCTTTCAACGCAATAATAACAATTATGATTCCAGCGTACAGAATAATAACTCCTTAAGGTCGCCCTCATTTCACAGGATACAAAAACCAAAATGTGAACTATTTATGGGTTTCAGAGCTTCTCAGAATTAATAGTAAATGGTGAATTGAACGAATCAAGCAAGTGGAAAGGAATAACTAGAGTGTGCTAAGTTCGACTAGCATACGTCTCCACGTCCGAGCGCTATGACATATCTTCATCTTCTCGCAAATTGACGAACTTCACATGAACTCTATAAGAAAGCCGATGCTCTTTCGATTTCTGCATGATATGTTTTTTCCAGTGATACATTGATCATGAATCATCTACGGAGAACCGACCAAGACCGCTATCTTCTGCAAAGTACGCAAATTTGGTCAATGTTCAACTTGCTCTAGCTCCTCACATGCTAGTCCTACATCCACGAGAAAAGTGTGCTATGAATGATGGAACATTAGCATATTGTTCTAAAATTGTTCTTATCCGTCATCGGTTGTTCCAACACTTTCTTAGACCATCAGAAAAGTTTCTCTCATTGGGGATTTTCACCCACGTTCGACAAGCGAACGCGATAGAATACTCAAGTTTCAACCACGCGGCCGCCTGACATAGGTATGTGTAAAAATATTTCGATGTCAAATTTGTCACACAATTATTCTCATGAAAACAATTTCACAATTTATTCTAGTACTGTTCTTTTCATTCTCAAATCATCTTTCTTTCTTCTCAAAATGGTCTACTCGGTCGGAGTCACGTTACTATCTCGACACGTCAACAATATCCTTTCGAATAAATCGCTGAGGATAGACTTCTTTGTTCGAATTCAAAGAACACTGAGGAGGATAGTTGTTCAACTTTTCGATTTCACACTAGCGTCTCAAATTTGAACTGCTCACTTTCTAGACTTTGCTATTTTGTATTGTCTCGAAATTTCTGTAATGAAAGAACCTCGACATCGCTGGTAGGAATATGAATTTTTATCGATAAATGAATCTGTCATACCTAAAACAAAAACATCATGGTCTGGCGTAGAACGAAGAGCTTGAAGCTCAAAATCTAGTCCAACGAACTCGTATGTGGAGATGGGCCATTTTTCTAAAAGACACTATACATAAGAACAGAACTGAAGAAATCAACACGTATTTTAAAGTGCTCCTGTATAAGCGTGCATAAGGGAAGAAATAGAGTGAGTGTTGACTTATATCTTATATCATTACATTCAGAAAGAAATTCTACGTCTACTGATTGCACTCATGACATAAACTACAGCAGCATAAGCCTCCAAATTGCATTTAAACGGTTTATATGAGTAGCTGAACACTCATCGTTGTCCAATTTTTTTGTGACACTCCGAGCCGAAAACAAGTCATTCCAGATAAAAGTTATAGTACATGGGTCATCGCGAAAATCCCAGACATGAGTGATCTCACCAAGGAATATGTTGCCAAAATGTTCCATGACTTGACAACTCAAATCCAACAGCAAAATACTCAGGTTGTGTCGCAGATAAGCGAACTGAAAAACGAACTTACAAACTATAAGAGACATATAGATGATAGTATACATGATCTCAAGGCAGAAAACGAAGCATTAAGACACGAGACCAAGACATTGAAGGATAGACTACTACAAACAGAACGCAAGGCGAAGGAATACAATCTGATAGTGTACAACCTACCGGGGACGAACCCTAGCAGTGAAGTTATAAAACTATTTCGTGACAAGCTAAACGTCAATTGTCGTGAAGAAGACCTGAGTGACACTTATAGATTCAATTCCAAAAGTGCAAACGGAAAGCCTGAACCAATACTTGTAGAATTTATTTCAAATAATCTTAAAACCAAAGTTTTAGGGGAAGCTAAAAAATTAAAAAATACTGGAATATATATTTCCCTTGATTACACACCAGAGGACTTCCAAATAAAGAAAGCTCTCTACTCCTACCAAAGGACTGCCAGAGATAAAGGCCATACAGCCAGCATTAAAGGACAAACATTGGTGATCGCAGGGGTTCCCTACACTCTAGAAGCACTCATATCAAACAACCCTGAGGCCGAAGCGGCCAATAACGTGTTCACAGGCAAGTCGGAAACAGAGAACTCAGTTTTTAAGGAAGAAACTAAAAATCGTATGCTAGGTAATCAACATCAAGCGGAAGAACCTCAACCGAGGAAACAAAAGTATCTTAGATCCTCGTCTACCATTAACAAACAAAAATAATCAGGTACTCGACATTTGTATGTATGAGTACCCTCCCCCCACATTTTATCACTTCAATTTGCTAACACCAGTAATCCTGAAATCACGTATACACACAAAATCAGTTGTTAAAATAAATGTATTCATACTCAATCATCTTTGTGAAGTGAGCCTACTGACTAATATTCGAAACTGCAGCAAAACACTGAACATTTTCGGTATTATCTCGTTTTTTTTTATTACACAGTAAAACTCATTCTTTTTTCTTCATCCTATATACTGTAGCCTCGTTTCACCTTGAATTTGAATTTAAATAATTTTCCTGATCAGTGAATTCTGTATACAAACAATAATGTCATTAAAATTTTGCCATATCAATGTGAGATCGATTCTGTCTAACTTTGCAGGTTTTAAAAATTGGGTATACAATGAATATTGTATACCAACCGAAATAAGAAGTGAATCCTTACTTTCATTTAAGAAGTTAGTCACTGAACTTATTGCAAATAATCAATTAATTGTAGGTTAGCCATAGGAGTTGAAGTATATATATATTTTTTTCTCTATTTCTATAAATTTGAGAGTTGATGAAATAATCTGGATTTGTATTATCCGATAGCTTGTAAAGTTAGGGACTTCTGTTCTAATCTTTAATTATTAAGTGACACTATAGGTTGAGTGGAAGAGCGCGTCCTCTCGGTAACTCATCTTACCGTCTTACCGAACTCTGCCTTTTGTCTTCAAACTCCATATCTGAATTGTGAAATGTGAAATTTAACATGTGTAGTTTGAGACAATAAAATCCTATTATTATTATTATTATTATATACCTTGGTAACTTTTCATTCCGTAATTGAATGAGCTCATGTGAAGTTTTTCACTTGACTATCTGGGATTTTCTCTCCTAGTTTCCACAGAATAAAAATATGAGTATTATTTCAATGTATTTGTATAGTACGACAAATCAATCAATAAATTCACGAATTTGACTATCAGGGAGCCTGAAAAAAAGTCCAATAGTTGTCAGTAACATTGTCACTTTTTTTGGGAAAATGCTTGAAAAGAGGATATATATATATATATATAAATATTGGAAAATCATCTTTTTTATGTTCTGGTGCCCACGGAAAGAGATATCCTGTAATGTTCAGAAAACATCGTGAGAACCAAGGAAAATAAGGTATAGGAATCGGTGTTATTCTTTAATTTCTGAAAGTTATATGCCTCGGGGAATACCTCCCGTGGCAATGTGTTCCAGAGCATGAACGAGTCTTTGGAAAGAGATGTTCTTTGGTCGTTCCGGGAACGAATCTGCTTCGGTTCTCAACATGAAAATACAAAATGTATCTCTGACATTTCGCAGTTCCATACAATATATATCCCATAAGGACATCGGAAATGAGACAGCCTGTATACAACATTTACTGGAGAATTTGCTACATAGTATTATAAGATCTACGCAAGGATATCATAGCAACCCCCAAATATTATAAGTCGGACATTAACTTTTTAGTTGTAATAATAGCGAATACGTGATCGGTTGGACGGTGTGAGAGGTCATAATGTGATATTTATGACTTTGTACTACTTGGAGAGAGCAGATAATCGCCAGCCAAAGTGCTATAGAACCCAGGATATCACACCGATATAATCTACTTTCAAACCGCTAATGCCATAATATCGAAGCTGAGCCAATTACGATAGAATTGGAGACCATATCGAAATATCTCTACTAAGTAGTGATAGTAGTCAAAAATTGAACGCCTTGACGGAGAATTGTACATATTCATCCAATAAATGAATGCCATGCCAACAGTTATGAGCAATTTATGATATGTATATCTTTTTTACATGAGCTACATCAATTCTAAGCATTCAAACCTACATGGTATCAGATGCAATCATATGAATCCTCATGTTAATGATTGAGAGTGTGTCAATCAATTTGGCGATTCTAGCCGTTAGTTTTCCAGTTTTTAGAGATTGAGTAAGGATCAACATTCTGATATTTTCAATATTCGTCTATTTCCATGAATATTATCTTGTCATGAAGAAATGCGATACCCTGTATGTGATATCATTCTCGTTTTGAATAGAGAAATTCATCAGGTAGATATTAGACTTGGAGAGTTTATTTCTACGGAAGATTCTTCACGACTCAGAGCACATAATTCGAGTAGATGCAAAATATTCTAAACAGCCAAAGTCGAATGTTTGTAGCTCGATAACTGGTACTTGGATCCATCTGTGATTTGCACTCTATGATAAGAACGCCAATATCTGAAACATATCAAATTTTCATAGAATTTAGCCGAAAGCCATTTTCCCACTAAATGTGCGGGGTCCTTCGATCTGAACGTACATTTCTGTGGTGTATAAGCTCCTACGCATTTCCGTTTGTGTTATTCCCCAACAAAGAGGTGTACTACTATACAATCATTCGGTGATACCTCTGATGTTCTGATGCTGAATCTTATCATTCATATTCCGAGGAAACTGTCACTATTGCGATTTTCTTCTTATTATTATGATATCATCGATTCGCGAAAAATGTTCACATATTTCAAGGTGTATAAACACACTAATTGAGTGTGATTCGACCCTTCATTGTCGTCATCTGACGACTCCAATATACAGTATCAAGTGGAAGCAATAATATACTGTATAAATATTTTATCTGCTACCATTTGCAGGCTATCGAGCGTCAAAGGAGCGCTATTGTCACCATCAAGGTATTTACACAATTCGAGTTGACCCAGCAAACGTTGTTTTGCTAAAAACATAATCTCTAGAAAATATGTTGCTATCTATAACAGCGTGTTTCTCAAGTTTTTCAAACTACTGTTATCTTGTCCATCACTTTTTGTTTGGCTATCTTCAAAGCGTGTTGGAATAGTTTTTCAAACTACTATTCATTTCAACTCTCTTGCTATATATTGGATCTGCCTCACCAATTTCCACACAGAAAATTATAACCTCTGACCTCGATAAGCCCCAGCCATCTTGAATTTTCGAATTTTGATGTTTGAATGATGATATTCGATCCCGAATATCTCCAGATATCGAGTCTGAATGGAATCAGATCATAATTACAATACTCGAACGAATTAATTCGGATCATAATAATTACAAAACTTGACGGCAATATTCGATATCTTGAATTTTCAAATTTTGACGAAATAATCATAATCTTCATCCCCGAAAACCCTCAAATGCACATTTTGAATACAATCGGATCATAATTACAAAACTCGTCCGCCATATTGGATCCGCCATCTAGAAATTCCAATTCAAAGTAAAGCTTACGGCCGATTTTCAGTTTCACCACATGTGCACAAAATGTTCATGAGAATCGGAATTTTTGAATATTATATATCGGATGGAGACGTATTTAAATTACATTGTTATCAAACCACCAATGTTGAACAGACTTGATAGTTGTCTCAATCGAAATCTGAATGACCAGTTGAATCGCATGGCAACCTATAAAACAAGACACCAACACCAATCACTACAAGCGTGCAAGCTACTCTGAAAGGAAGTGTATTCAAACCCGAATTGACAAAAGAACTAGCAATCCAATGACTGGCATCTCCACTATGTCCTCCGGTTCAGAAGTGACTGACTGAACCATCTCTTCTCTTCCTCTTCCTGGTTCCCGTTTTGCTAAAGTGATATTCTTCGAAATATCAAATGTATTCCTTTCAATAACCTATAGACTAAACAATCCTACGAGTGGTCTTCAGTAGCAATAAGATCATCGCTTTAACAGTTAACGTTACACTGAGAGAAATGATCCGTTGTAAATACCTGAAGATCACTAACGTTACACTGAGAGAAATTATCCGTTGTAAATACCTGAAGATCACTATACCATACCAAGCGTTGTGGTCAAATAGGCGCCTGTTACTACATTCATCAAATATAACCACTACAAAATAGTGGAATTGAGGGAATATAACATACTGAAGCACCAGTTATAAGGGACCCGACCTGTACGGTTATGTTTCACCACTACAAATGAGTGAATAATACTATTCAGCTCGTCGGTTCGTATCCACCACTACAAACAATATATTTATACCCTACTCATTTAATTCATATTTACCACTACAAACTAGTGATTTCTACCAGAAAACTGGGAAGTATCACAGAATCTCATTGATTTGCAGGTATGATATGATAATTAGGTAGGTAGTAGAGATAGTTATCTCAGTATATGAATAAAGTTTGGAATGGGAGAAAAATCGAATTATTGTGTTAATTTGATTTTTATGTACAACAAAATTGAGATTTTCTCGTTCTCCTCAATAACGCGTGCAACGTTCACCTGCCATTTCAGTTTCAAGATGACACAAATAGGTATTTCACTCACTGTTGAACACTGGTAACAACTCTTCGAGTTACCACTATCAGGTACAGTTCACACTTCACAGCACCACAGTTTGTAGGTAAGTAGATACTTAAACAGTACATATTAACTGCAAATGAAATCTCCATGTGCCAATGAAATCAATTTCATTCATAATTAACGAGACGAACGCAACGAAAGATGAACTATGAACTATGAACTGATGGAACTATCACGCCAACGCCAAGCCACCTGCATTGAAAAAACGAACGCCGACGATCGGCTTCGTGATCTCGGCAAATTACTCTCTGATGTAGTAGATTTGTACATCACAAAAAGTAAACCTTTTATTATTACCGTACGCACTAATAGAAATATCAGGGGAGTAACAGTCACCACAATCCTAATACCACTTCATAAGAGATATTTATCAATCACTGGATATAGAACATTTTATTTGATGTAGTGGTGAATAATAATTTGAACTATTAATATTTGGAGGTGGTATGCAATAGGTGTGTCCAAGTATTGATCACTCAAATAAGTGATATCACGAATATGTGTTGTGTTTGATGAAACTAAATCGAAACCACCATTACATTTAGTTAGACCAATTTCAGTGTAAATCAAAATACTGAAATAATACTTATTGTTTATATCTCAATATTGC